AGTAGATTCACCAGACAATGAATTTCAATACATCCCACGTCATCACCCTAATCTAAATTTCCCTTCCCTCACGAACCTGAAATTAAAACCTAAGGAAACAAACCATTATAGTGTCGTCTGATAATCAAATGTAGCTCACCAAAGTGCAGGAAAAAAGACAAAAAACAATATAACCTCGGTAGGATTCAAAATGTTTCCGCTTCGAAACACTATTTACCCAAATTCTATGACCAACACCAAGTTCAGACTAACAAATACTAATTAAAATTAATAATAATTGCTCTGATACACGGCCATTACCTCCTTGGACTCGTTTTCGATGTTGTTGTTGGGAGAATCCGCTTCCTGCGACGAGTGCCTATCGTGATCTTCTTCACGGTCAACAAATTGAGTCAATGCTAATTCCGAAAACGATAATTATAGTTTTAATTATTAATTGTTTAAATCTCCCTAAAAGAACGAAGGGAAAAGAGAAAGAAAGAAAAAATAGGCAAATCCGCTTAAAGCTAAATATAAAGCTAAATAAAAAAAATAAAAAATAAAAACGAAATATAGGTCGCGAGAGAGTTTTTCTTTTTTTCTTTTTCGGGGTTGTTTCGATGTGGCACGCTGAGAACCTCACTCACCTCGATCGGATTTGAAATCCATAAGCACGCGCTCCGCTTTCGCCGCCGCAGAATGAAAGGCGAACCTCGCTTTGGACACGAAAGTGTGCTCCTCCATCTCCTGCGCGCGTCAAGGCGCACGTTTATCCACACACGTTCTACCAAATTGAACCGTTGCGAGTTAGTCCTGAGTCATTGCTTTCAGTATTTGTAGTCAGCGATGCGTAGTACCAACTTGATGTTCATATGATTCTTCCCATGGACTAAGAAAGTACTCACAATAGTGGAAGATCACAAATTCAGTGGTCTTCTCTGTACTAAAATATTTCCAGACCAAAACTGGAAGAGACAACATGAATAATAAGATGACATGTTAATTTGACATCTTTTTATATTTTAATTTGTTTGCTATTAATTTTGAATATTTTTCACAAACTTCTATTGAAATTTTAAAATGTTAAGGGGAATGGAGGAGTTTGATCAAATTCATAACACTAGTAGAAATTTAAGATTATTTTAACTTTATAGATTATATTATGATTGTATTTTATCCCTAATCTTTCATATAGTATATCTCAAAAACATTCTTTTAATATTTCTTTTTTTAAAACATTTTCAAAAAATGTAAGTTTGTAACGTAGTTATTTTAGTGCATTCCGTAACAATGATTGTCCAGAGCAAAAATGTGAGTAGTTGAAAAGAGGAATTTTGGCAAGAGTTCATCTTCCATTAATTTTCTCCACTTGATACATGCTCCCTTTAATTGAGAATTAATTTATAATTATTTGTTTTTATGTTGAAACCAAATGATGAAATTGAAAAGGGGGGAGATTAAATGAATTTAATAAAATAAAATTATGCTAACAAACTTCTTTAATTAACAAGAAAATTAATCTTTTATATTTAAATCTAGAATTTATAAAAAAGAACGAGAAGAATAAATCTAAATCATACAATCATGAATTATTAAAGTTAAATGTAAGGTAAAGATTTATATCCATTTACATGAAGGTTTAATGTCAATTCGCTTTCACGTTAAAAAAAAATAACCCCTAACTATATGACTTAAATATATTATTAATTCTCTAAAGTTAAAACAAATTGGTTTCTGAATCACGAAACTGAAAAAACAATAAATTTTTAGCCCCTATAATTTAAAAAAAAAAAACACTATTCAATTCATCTATCTAAACATGCTAAAAACCATTTCATATAATTAAGTGTTTGAAAATCTAAAAAACGATATTGGAATTTATTTTCAAGTGAATAACATCTATTGTTTAACTTGTTGACAAATATTTGTATAAGAAAAATTGAATCGACTACAGTTTATACATAAAAAATAGTTAAAACTTCTATTAATGTAAATTAAATTTAACCCGTTTAAAAAATATTTTCCAAAAGATGACTTGTGCTTTGATAAGTGTGACGTTGAACCGAGACAAACACAAAATGATCTACACCAAAAAAGAGTAGAAGACATAGCCGAACTTAGGTAATCGTGATGCACACTAAACATTTGAACACCATTATGATTTGTTACAACCTTTGCACGTTTGACATCATAATTTGGTACAACCAATAAGGAGGTACTGATTTTGTTGGTTGTTACCAGACAAACTATATTCTACACTTTTCTTGTTTGTTTATGGTTTACTACTCTACGATACATCACATTCTGAATTTGAATTTTCAAGCAATCAGCAAAACTAGAAAGGAGAAACTAAATTGAATACACTGAATCGCGTCTACTAGTCATTTTAAAATACGAGATTTATTCATTCGTAAATTCAATAATTAGACTATTCATCCTAAATAATTTTTAGAAAAAAGACATTTATTTTGTTATGATTTAAAAAAAAAAACATTTGTTGGAGAAATAACAAAATTTTAAGTCACTAGAAGGAACTTTTAACAATTAAAGACCTTTTTTTTTGGGATAGCAAGCTTTTCACAAACTACTACTAGAATACAAAAACAAAAAGTAACTTGCATAAAAAGAAGAAACTCATCAAGTCAAAATTTCATAAGAGCACCCCCACATACATAGCATCAAACATTTTACAGTAGCAGTGTAAAACATCAGTACAGAATTACTTTCAAACAATCTTTCGCAACATAGATCGATATAAATGTAGGTTTACACATAAAACACCTTTGCCTGTTGAACACGACAATTCGTCCAGTCAAAGCCTCTGAAGAAGCAATCAGCACAACTCAAGAAGCCCGTCATACCGAATATCAAATTTTCAGATCAAAAGCTTCTCAATAGCATCCTGCACACCCACAAAATACTCAGTATCTATTCACTATAACTGAACCATTTGCAAAAAGTCTTGTTTATTACAAGACCAGGTGAATTTTGGTTAGTTTATTACTTATTGATATTATATGTATTTTATAATGACCAATTTTAAAACCACACAATTACAATCAAACTAATGAATTGTTACTGAACACATTAATGGAATGACTGATCCAAATTTTAACATCAGTAATGAATAATACAGTTAGCAAGTATATGAACAATATTGAAGTTAAGTCACATGAATACCTTTAGTTGCTGAATTTGGGATTTCAGTTGACTTCCTTCATTAGTTGTTACGGAACATGCAATCACTGGCCGTGTGACACCACATGCTCGCCCAAGTGCTTGTTTTGATGGGACAAATACATAGGGAACATTCTACAAAACTCAAATGGTAAAGGTTAGTTTTCTCCTATGTAGATAAAATTCAAGAAACATAATGAAATTAAAATTACATCTACTAGGATAATCTAAGGCCAAAGAAAAGAAATTCAACAACATCTACAGCTATATCGGTCTAACAGAAGAAAAGTGTTCCAATATGATAAGAGCATAATATGATAAAGTGTGCTCATTGGGCAATAAGGACCAACAGTAAAGTACAAAACCAGTAAAATAGTAGAAATCTAAGATAATAAATTACAAATAAAAATATTAGATTGTCAAATATAAAAGTTTTATACTTAAGAAACTGGAAATTACTCTATTACAACACAACTGATTATATTTATTGGGAGTTTTTCCAGATCCATTTCAAACCTCACATACAGGAACCATTAATATTTTGAAATTTGAATCTTTGGAACCTACACTAATAGACTCAAGGACTTCAAAATTAATCCTCAATTAGTAAAAAATCATTACAGAATTATGATGTTATAAGAAAGATTGCAGTTAATGATTTATGTCAACCAAAATAATTTAAAGGATACAGAAAAATGATAAATAAGCATTCTCCCTTTTGAATTTTAAGCCCGTTATGTTTTATCACGCTTATAATTTTACACCAATTATCTTAGGACCAAAATATTAGGAATTCGGCAAGGCAGTCAGACACCCGTAAGCATATTTACTCCATAATATATTTGAGGTTCAGTCTGATAATAAATGTATTTGTATACTTAGACCTGCATTTTAAGCTCTTTTTGTTTATCATTCTAGTTTTCTTGTTTATGCTGATTCCGCTGTTGTTTGCAATAAATGGTAATCAATTAGATTGCATAAGAAACATTTGTAGGGAGAAGGACTACCTTGTCCTCGGCAAGCAGAGGAAGATGGAGAAGAATTTCAAGAGGCTCGGTGTCTGCAGCCATGACAACGAACTCAGAAATGCCTCTATTCAGAGTCTTGGTGGCTGAAACAAATGAAAGTTAAAACCAATCAGACCACACCGATTTTTTTTTCCTGTACTTTTTTTAATTTCAGAAAGAATG